TTCATTTTTTAAGACGTGTTATGTTTTACATTAATACCTTGTTTTAATTTGAAGCCGAATGATCAGTTGATAATTAGTGAAATGTGTTATATTGTGTAATTATAATGTGAAGATTACAATGTCTGTAGACAAGGTCTGAATACACTACATCGCAAGGGTCAAACAATTAAGGGTTGTCATTGTGTAAACTAGGTTATTTGGTCAATTAAATGGCGTGTGGGTGTTGAAGTATCCCAATTTGAGAATGTGGAATTCAATAAAAAGAAAATCCACGAATTCGAGTCCGAGTTTGATGGATTTTGTGTTTTTCTTGGATTACAGATACTTGACTTTGATTTGTCGAATTGTGCACACAAATTGAACATTTACAAGTTTGAATTGAATATCGAATTCAGTTTGCAAAATGTGCCATTGGGATGATACATTACAATTTAGTAGAATTCAATATGTGAGCTAGGCCGCCACTTCTGTGCATGAAAAATTGCCTTTAAACTGAGAAAAATATTTTCTATGTTCTTTATCGGAAACTATAGGCCAAAACAAGAAAAATGAGCCCGCTCGGAGCTCCCTAACTGAACTATTGGTGGATATATTGAGAATTTTTTTTTTCTCTAAATATTTTTTTTTTAATTCTAATTACAAGTCACTATTAACAACAACAAAATATTCAAATATACTGATTTTTTAGGAGATTTTCACAACTTTTGTGAAAAAATAGTTTTTTTCTACGTGTCTACATAATTTTATGTATAAAACTTAGAAAGCAAGTTTCAAACGTTGATTTCAGATCGTTACCAACTTTTTGATTAACCCCTCAAGAGCCCTTTTGGCCCTAATCTTGCGTGCGCTAAATAGCAATGCAATTTACCAACTCCCAACAGTCCAAAACAGATATTAAGTAGGAGTAATCAAAGTCAAGCGATTAGTCTTCACAACAGAGTTTGCTCAAATTTGTAAAGTTCTATATTTTCGGAAATATCAAATTTCGAAACGAGACGTGCATTTCTGCGTGGGTCCATATGTGGTATGGACGCTGGGCTTGGAGGGTTTATTTTTTTTTTTTCATTGTAAAACTCAGGAAATTTCCTAACTTTTCTAGATTTGTTTTGGTGCTGTGACAAATAAGAAAATGAGAATTCAGTCGTCCCAGAAAATCAGTTCTTCGAAAATATCTGAGTATCTAAGAGAGATAACGACATTTTTGCAAAAGCGTTTTTCTAGGGCAATATGATATCGATGGAGCTTTCTCTATCTCCGATTCAGAGCTATGCATAAAGAACTTATCTCCAAATTGAGTTGCGGATTAATTTTTTGATAATATCTCAGAACAAAGTAAGATGACGATTTTCCTATGATGAATACTTTTTTGTGAAAGAAAACGAGATTGGAAAAAAAATTAGCGGAAAGAAAAAGAACAATCCTCAATATCTCCGCCAATAATTGAGTTAGAGAGCCCCATGGGCGCTCATTTTTCTTGTTTCGAACTTCCCAATAAAGAAGACAGAAAAAGTTAAAAAATTGAAGGCGGTTTTTTACATACACAATTGATGAATTCGCGCATGTATATCGTTCCATTGGAATGTAGAGACTATAATTTCTGTGAACAAAGTCTAATGCAAAATATAACATTTGTCAAAAAAATTAAAGGATTCCATTGTGTATAATACGTGTTGGCAAGAAAAAAGGGTGCTGATGTTAGAATATGGCAGATTTATTTTCTGTGTTCTATGTTTTTGAGGTCGTCAAACTTCTAGGTTTTACGAGCCGTTATCCCTCTTAATTAGGATTTTTCTTAAATAGTGGGGGTCGATTGTAAAGGTTATAAAATTAGATAGGGGAGGGTGGGGTAATAAAACTTTTCCATTACCGTATACCTCTCGGTTTCATATTAATTCCTAATGCTTTTTCCAACTTTCGAAAAATTTGAACCGTTCCAGAGGTGTTCCCTCGCGGCCACCCATCCTTTTAGTGACCACGTTTAGCGCTGCTTAGCTTCCCGAAACTAAGCCGGCATGGGGCAATATGGACACCAGGGTTGAATAATGAGTTGAATTAGATCAAATCTACTGGTCCGACTTAAGACCCGGGGGACTATCTTTCGAACGTTATCTCGATTGTTTTTCCATCTTCATAATGTAAAATATATCATAATTTCCATTGGATGTTACATCACGCAGGAGTCCCTAAAAATTATGATTGTACAATTAAAAAAAGCTGAAAAAAAACTGAACATTTTTAAAGAGCGTTTTTAATAAAGGTTAGGAAATAAGTCCGATAGAGAGGAAATAGTGAATGGATAATTGATCATGATAACTAACGATCTGACAGCCATTGACTACTGTGACAAATGACGAGCTAACAGCCATTAGATACATCAAATTATTAATTTGCGATTTCCTCCCTATTGGGTTCGTTTCTCAATATTATTCACAGACGCTCTTTGAAAATGTTTAGCTTTTTTTCAACGTTTTTTTGATTGCACCATCATAATTTTTGGAGTCTCCAGGGCTATGTAAAACTAAATAGTAATTGGAGATCATTTAAGATTATCAAAATAAAAAAAACAACCAATATCAAGTTCGAAAGATAATCCACCCGGGCCTTAATTTAAAGATTATAAAAAGAAACACATTGTTATAAAACTGCGTCGTAGGAGTTGTAAGGTAAAGTAAAAACGGCGTTAAATGGACACTTTGATTTCTTTAATTCAATAGAGTCGAAGTATATTTGTTACTATCTCTTCCAACTCTAATTTCTCCCTATAAAAAGATACCCACACGTTTCTGTTGGAGAACGCCTGTTGAAAATTTTTTTGACCTTTGAATAAGCTCAACTTTTTCGGGTGTCCATTTCACTCCACTCTTGAATAATTTTTCAGTTGTGGACTTTGCAAAGAAGCAATTTTTAAAAATTTGAATTTTGGAAAAAAAAATTTTTTCGTAAATTTTTAGAGTGCTCATTTTACCCCAGGTGCCCATATTACCTCACCCTCCCCTATAGAAAAAAACTTGGCCGTTATCTCTCTTCATTAGGATTTCATCTTTAATAGTCGGAGTCCATTGTAAAAATTATAAAATTAGAGAGAGTCACTTTGTTAGCTGTCACTGATTGGCGGCTTTTTTTTCATTCTTCCAGATTTATCTTCATCAGAATTGCATTTTGGGCAGCAAAAAAATTACTTACATGTGATAAATTTTGCTGCAGTGGACTCCAAGTGTTCAAGATGTGGGCTGCATGATCGCTGACAACAAATCTCACCTGAAACGCAAAAACAAAACGAATTTAAAATATACTATTCAATTCTCTCAGCTCCATCGCGTACAGAAGGAATCAATACTTACTAATTTTCCCGATGGAAATAAATCCCAGACAATTCGACAATACTCCATCGACGATTCCACACTCGTTGTCCATAATGATTTACAAATTGGTGCTAAGGGAATCTGATTTTGTCCTCTACCCTTCAAACACTCAAACTCCAACGGACTCTCTGTGGAGATTCCGAAGTACGGAGTGTGATCCAACACAAATACAGTCTTGTGGTTTGCTGGATACATTCTTCATACCATTTTTCAGTATTCACGAGAGCTGATACTCATGCAATGTTTATTGTTGTAGTTTGAGGTTATGTGTGACTGCAACAGTTCAATGTGGTAATAAGAATGCAAAAAATTATAGTACACTGCACAGATTATGATGAGTGGAAGTTGAAGGTGACTGTGAAATTTTCAGTAGAGGAATATTTTTAATTCAATATTGAAGTACACAAACATCACTAGTTGCGCATGTGATAATATTGATATTGTTTGGCGTCGACTGACACCAAAAGAAATAGTGTATTGTAATCGATAATGGAGGACACTAGTTTCACGATTATCGAAGATATATCAACGGTAGGTACAATCTTACTAGGGTTGTGCAAGTAATTTCCTGAGGTAAATTAGGGGAGAATGGAGCAATATGGACGTCTGGGGTAAAATGGACACTCAAAAAATTTGCGATTTTTTTTTTTTTTCAAAATTCAAATTTTTGAAAATTGTTTCATTGGACAATATAGACACCTGATAAATCCGTACAGGGTGGCCTAAAATGGATGCTCAAATAGTTGTCAAAAAATTTTCAATAATCTAATTTTTTTTAATTGCTTCTTTGCAAAGTCCACAACCGAAAAATTATTCAAGAGTGGGGTAAAATGGCCACCCGAAAAAGTTGGTCCTATTCAACTTTTAATCAAGAAAATTTTCAAGACATTTTCCAACAGAATTGTGTCGATATCTTTTTATAGAGAGAAATTAGAGTTGGAAGAGATACTAACAAATAAACTTCAACTTTATTAAATTTTGCCGTGAAGTTTGAAATATAGGGTAGCTTTGAATTTCCTGTTTTACTATTGAAATAATTTTGAAATTATTTATTTTTTACAACGACCAATTGCACGCCGTACACAACTGACCTTTTGTCCGTTTGCGAAATTTATAAATGGCTACTTTTCTACTTACAAAGGAAATCACCATAAAACAATGGGAGGCGAGGATGAATGAGTAAAGAAAAATTTGCTTCACCACCCTCACGACAAAAGTCAAAAATGATTTTTTTTTCAATTTGAAAATGGCAATCATCACTAGTGTTTTAAAAATTAAATAACATTGTTGAAACATAAAAAATTGAGGAAGAAATCGAAGCGTCCATTTCACCCCGTTTTTGCTTTATCTTACAACTCCTACGACGCAGTCTTATGACGATGTGTTCGTTTTTATAAACTTCAAATGAAGTCGTAACAGTAAATTTGATCCAATTCAACTCATTATTTAAATCTGGTGTCCACCCTCCCCTTCATGGTTTCTCGCTTGTCATAAACTAGATAAATTACATGGAACTTTTCGAGATATTTGAATTGTCAGAATATATTTGGCTTCCTTCATTGTTGGCAGTATAATGCAAGCCAGGACTGCTGTCCGCGAAAAATAACAATAGTAAATAACACTTTTTCCATTCGGGTAGTTCTTTATTCTTTCTTTCCTGAGCCTCAAAAATGATCAAAAACACTCCATTGAAACAATATCAATTCGGCAACAAACATTATCAAATTGGCATTTCCAATTACAAATTATGAAAAACGTCGTAGAGCAATTGGTTATTCCATTCAGATGTATAAATGCATGAGATCAAAATCAATAACTTTCAATTTGTGTCTCAATTTGGCTTCTTGCTGGACATTATCAAACCACCTAGAGACATGGACATACTCAGCTTGCTCCTGACATGTAAGTCCGCTCTGAAAAAAGATATAAATAACAAAAGATTCTCAGAGATTACATCGATCCAAGTTCACTGGTGAGGATTCATCCAGTGTATTTTCTATTCTCCACGATATTACAAGACATTACCATTATTGAATGTAGGGCATAATACAGTGCCACGTCCGCTATCGTCTTGCTTGTTCCTGTGATATAGGTATTGTCTCTTAATGCAATATTTAGTTCCTGAAACAAGGATTTTTAATTAATCAAACTGAACATCAAATTTCAAATACTAGAAGAGAAACGCACGCACACTTACGCCAGTGGTTCATTGTATTTTTTATCCTTTCATTTCAGCAGCGAAGCGGTAAATCGGTTTAAGTTAATTTCGACTAATGGTCAGTTTTTAATGAATATGTCGGAACCTAAGGGAGATAGTCATTTTTTTGTAATAACCTTTTTTGTAGAGCGAATTGAGAGCTAATAAAAAGGTTATGATGAAAATTCCGTCATTTTTCTTAGATTCGGAGATATTCCTGGAAAACTCAGCGAAGAGCCAAGTCGACTTAAACCGGTTTACCGCTTCGCTACCGATTTCTTTTTGAAAATAATGAAAGTAACAATAAACAATCAAAGGAACATATAATTTAATGTCACGTTTCTACCATGACTTTTTACAGCTAGAATTCAGAAGCGAAGTAGTAAAGCGGTTTAAGACGACTTATCTCCCAGTTGAGTTTTTGAGGAATATTTCCAAATCTAAGAGAGATAGCGTAATTTTCGTAATCACATTTGTTGTAGCTCTCAATTGGCGCTATAAAAAAGGATATGCAAAAATTTTTCTTATCTTTCTTAGATTCTAAGATATTCACTGAAAACTGGCCAATAGTCAAAATTGCCTTAATTAAACCGCTTTACCACTTCACTACTGAATTATATTATTTCACACTAAATGATTGCTTCCTGTCACAAGAAAGTTAAATTGTTCCATAAAGTATCCAGAAGAGAATCCATTCATTAGTTAATCATTGCTGAAGATCTTGGATTATACAATCTTTTCTTATCTCTTTAAAAGAAGAAATTTTTCAATTTTCTATTTCTATATGTATATGTATAAAAAAATATATTCAAAAAATATCTTTTTAAAAAGGAATATAAAACAAAGATTTGTATAATCTAGGATCTTAAGCAAAGATTATCCTTGTTCCTAGGCTTAAGGTTATCCCTGGCGAAATAGATTGCTGACAAAAAAGGTGACACCAATTTTTTAATCAGATAAAGTTCTTCTTGTCAAAGGAGGAATCTCAGCCGTATATCCCAACTCTACCCAAATCACCACGTGCTCCCAACACCACTGAAATCGAGGTTACTTCTTTGGCAAAATTTAGTATATTCAACTGGAGGGATTTCTGTATATGATGATTTCATAGAAATTATCCATACATGATTTTTATAGGGTTTTCGTGTTTGATACATAATCATTCAGTAAAAAAAATCAGCTGCTGACTGCACCTTGAGCACTCTTTTAGTATTTGCAGGAATATCAGCATAATTCACACACATAACTGCATATTCCAGCCATTGTCGTACTAATGTTTGTGTAATTCTATCACTCCCAAGGTGAAGCTCTTGCTGTTTCGAGAGATTTGCATATGCTTGAATTATGGAGCTGAATCCTTCGATTGTGGTGTTTTTTACTAAATTGTCAGCAGCAATTGTCTGTTAACAAGGACAATGAATATGGTTAATTGTCAATTATATTAATATTGATTCAATAATTTAGAATTTGCTCGATTAAATATCCTTGATAAATTTTCGCTAAAGACCTACTTTTCTGACACCCATATAAAACGGTATAATTTTGATTCTATTGAGATTAAAATTGTTCTGCAGCCATCATTCAATCAATTCAGAACATTTTTTAGTGATCGTGAAAAAAACAATTTTTGAAAAATTTAAAATTTTTTAAAAATTAATAAATGAATTAAATTTTAATTAATGGTGATTGATAGGGCTCAGCAATACCTACATTTGTGGAAAAAAATCAATTCCATCGATTCACGGACGAAAAAATTTTATAGAAAAATCTATCGAATTCGTTAGAAAATTCTATTGAATTTCTATTAAACTGTTCTGTTAGTTTTCGGCCGATTCTATTAAAATGTAAAGGAATGACTACAATGCTTCCATGCGGAAGCAAACTCCTTCAAATACTACAGAAATGCATCGTCAATAGTAGAATGAATGTCTAAAACTACAACGATTGTCAACTCTAGATGACTGAATTTTAAAAAAAGCTATGTGTAGGGGAGGGTAGGGTAACATGGACACTTTCGACTTTTTTAAAATTATTCATAACTCAGAAACAAATGTAAAAATGGAGCTCAGTTTAGGCTCATCACAAAGGGAAAGAACTGTTGTTTGTATTGAAAAAAAATTATTAAATTTCATCAACATTTCAACCTGCCACTAATTAATATTTTTAAAAAAGTCAAGTGTCCGTCTTACCCCAACCTCCCCTAAATATTTAGATTAAGTTGGAAAAAAAATTATCGATACTGTAAATAAATCTTGTAGATTCGCGCACTTCGAAAAATTAAATTGAAGAAAAAAATCTTAATTGTATTCAGATTTCACATGTATAATGCCATATAATGCGTAATTGGATTAGTACTTTTCAGTTTAGTAGAATTCAATATGTATATCCTATAATTGGAATGTGGGAATTAGAATTTCTACCGACAAAGTCGTAATGCAAAACATGACATGTGTCAAAGAATGAAGGAGCCCCATTGGGTAATTTTTCAAAGATATTTGCGAGTATTTGTAATGAAGATTGAGGGTTAAATAACCTAGAATTGATTGTATACATACGTTACTCTGTGTTATTTGGAGTTTACCCGGTGGGATTTCTAAGTATTGAGAGATTCGTTGGACACATTCGATACTACACAGCACCATTTTTATTCTACAGCGTAATGAGAGTTATTATGACAATTTCTTTTCAATATGATCCAGTCACGAAACACCGGTGTCGGCGGGGTGTTTTGGAGCGTCACAGCGTCAGCGAGGGCAGCACAGTATTTCAAGTTACACAATTCCTGCATTTTTTTTTCCATAAAACGTTTACTCATGTATGAACAGAAAATTAATATCTCCGGATGCCAGGAGGTAGGAAAAACCACAACAGTGGAATGCATGATTCATCTGTATCAGGTTTCTATGGTAAGGAGAAGTTGATAAGGAGAAGAAAAACTATTAATACCTGGGGAAACAGAACGGATAATGTACAATATTAATTTATTCGTGGCCATTCCTATTTGATACAATGTTTTATTTTAAAATATATCCACTAGACATTTACAAATTCAGATTTTCCACTTGTGAATTGTAATATTCGTAGTTGTTAAAAAAATCATCGTCAATCATATCGACAATTACTTCCAAAATATTTCAACAAATTCATATCATCATAAAATATCAAAAAAATGTCATAGTGGTACCTAAAGTTTGACACAATAAATTCCTCAAAAATATCGAAAGACCCATAATCTGGACGACAGTTGAATTAATTTGTGTAAACCGTATTTTAAAAAGCAGATACTTCTGCAAAATCATGATTCCATTGATTTGCCAATTTTTCGGAAAAAACGCAATGCTTTCTATTATGCGAGGGAATTTGGATGCAAGATTCCATTTGAACAGAAAAATCCTATTGAATCAAGTCACCAAACCTACCAATCTGGCGATTTGGTAGAAATGCAGGTACGGTCAAAATTGGAATAAAAAAAATTATAATACACGGAGAAGAGAGTTGTAGAAACTAATTCTGATATTTAGTAGAGCCTCTTCTCGTAGGAGAAGAGACTGTGAACATTGCCCTCTTGCTGGGCCGATGGAGATCGTCTCTCGAACCTTAATTCTCCACTGTAAGTTAACGCTCTAAGCGATGAGACAGACTTAGCTCCAATATCCTGGCATCCATGCTTGATACCGCATTGCAAATAGGGTAAGAACTTGAGTACGCTGCCCTTGTCGACAATTGATCCACTGACGCCCTGTGCAACCTTCATCTTATCCATTTCATTGTGAAAGTATCGGTCCATGGCCGAGCCCTTGGCATCCTTTCTGTCCATGGCCTCGAGTGATCCCATGCCCCTGTACTTTTTCAGACGAACTCCATCACTGAAGAAGTACTCGCCAGGTGCTTCAGAAGTGCCAGCAAGCAAGGAGCCCATCATCACTGTGCTTGCACCAAGACTGAGGGCCTTAATGATATGTCCTATTGATTGAATACCCCCATCAGCAATGATTGGAATACCAAATCTCCTGGCGTACTCTGCAACTTTGTAGACAGCTGTTGCCTGTGGTCTTCCAACAGCCATCACCTCCTGGGTGATGCAGATTGAGCCCGAGCCCATTCCAACCCTCAAACCATCGGCTCCAGCTTCAATCAAGTTCTTCGCCTGCATCGTGGTAACAACGTTGCCAGCAATCACCTGTAGCTCTGGAAATTCCGATTTGATGAATTTAATCATCTCTATCTGATAAATAGAATTGCCCTGGGACGAGTCCAAAACAACGACATCAACTCCTGCTGATGCTAGGAGTTTTAATCTCTCTCGGTCTGCCATTCTCGTGCCAATTGCAGCTCCCACCAGCAGCTGCTTGTTCTCGTCTTTACTGGCACTGGGATAGCTTCTATTTTTCTTTAAATCAGTCCTCGCCATGAGGGACACTAGCTCACCTTTGTCGTTGACAATGGGGAGCTTTCCTTTTTTTGATTTCTCGAGGATGGAGTTTGCCTCCTGCAGGGTTACGCGAGATTTTGCTGTCACAAGGTTCTCCGTTTGGGTCATTATCGTGCTGAGCTTGAGGTTTCCCTGGCTGGGACTGTCCTCGAGGAAGTCGATGTCTCTGGAGGTGACTATTCCAACCAGTTTACCACCAATCTTTCCATTTTCTGTTATGGGTACTCCTGAGAAACCGTGCTCAGCTTTTACGTTGATGACATCACGCACTGTGTGGTTGGGAGAGAGGACCACTGGGTCTCTGATGAAACCGTGTTTATATTTTTTTACCTGAAAATAATAAGGATTTTATGAGATTATTGTTGAGCAAATAATCGATGGCAATTGAATATGAAAAATGCAAAAAATTGAAAATTTTTGAGGATCAAAAAATTGAAAAAAATTGGAGATATGGAGAATGATGCGCTAAATTTGATAGCAACAAAGGACAATGGGGTACGTGATGGTGGGTGAATATGATCGATATTTCAACACCCCTTTCACTGAGTCAGCTCATACTTTCTTGAGGTTCGGCGAGCGGTACCGAACATTTCTCGGATTTATTTTCGCTAGATTAGGTCCGGTTGGTGGTTTAAAATTTTGTCAAATGGATTCACTCATTTTTCTCTATTACTGAAGAGAAAGAAATTTACAAAATATTTTTTTATCAAACACGATTAGCACCCATAATTAAGAAAATATTCTGGGGATTTTTTTAAATGGATTAATTAGAAATTTTCGTCAGTAAATTGTGATTTTCGTTGTGATAGAAAGAATTGGGATGCCCTTAGGTCCTCCCAAAAAATTTTGGTCAACATTGGCAAAGATACTCAAGCTATCGTCGAAGTTCTACTTTTGGGACAGTACACTCGTCATAATAGCCTTAAGGATATCCAAGTACTTTGGCTATCTTTTGTCGAGTGAAATGCTTTTCTACTTTTGTAGTCCAACGTCAGAGCTTTCCAGATATTTTACAACGATTTTATTATTTAAAGTTTGCAGGTCTGAATTTCAATCTCGATATTGAACCGTTAGATAACATTTTACAAATTTAGAAAAAAAATTAGAAAATTTACTTTTGGAGAAAGATTGATGAAATAATTGAAAAATTGCCATTTTTTAAGATTACGGGCATTTTCTATAAATAATTTATAAACAATCAATTTTTCACCATAAAAATCGTTTGCACGAAATCGTAACAAATTTATTCATATTCAGAATTTTTCCGAGAAATCGATTTTATCCCTAAAAAATTAGGCTTCCAAAAGTTTAAACAGTTTAAATGATTTATTAATAAACAATAAATATAATATTAATATTATTAATATAAACAATAAATTCAATCTTACGAGAAAACGGTTCTTACGAAGTTTTGAAAAAACTAATCCCTGATCGATTGATGAATTCCGAATACGGTGAATTTTTTGTAAAATCTTGTACTACATAGTTTCTGCGATATTCAACCTTACAAAAAGGAAATTTCATGAAAGCATTTTTCATTTGATTCAAGCAATTAATTAACAAATAATTTCTTTTGCGATTCAAAGAGTTATTGTTGCCTGCATCAACAACACATGCGGATAGAAAAACTCAATAACTTATGAGAATGCAATAAATTAAGTCATTTAAAATTTCTTTCGGAAATCCATGGGGACGAACTTGTGGGTGCTATTCTCTTGGGATATACCTTAAGGTACATCTTCAATCGCTTACAGATGGTAAAAATGTTGCAATGTACAAAACAGGGTTGGGCATCTGTCAATGACCGCAGTTTTTTATATGAAATTGTAAAAAATGTGTAATTTACGTAATAAATGTAAAAAATGTGAAAAAAAACAGCCGACGTTACCTTTTATCGTAAACCGCGAAGATTATACCTCGCAAGGGTGATAAGCTACGCGGGTCACACCTCGTAAGGGTCATGCCGTGTAGGGAATGAATTTTACAAGGGTCAATCGCATTATTTATTGATCTCTATTGAATTCGTTGCGTCATCATCTTGTGTCTTGACATTAACTTGTTTCATTCAGCATTCTTAGATGACAAAACTAATTCAATTGTCTTTGGTAGCTTTTTTGAACTCGTCAGAACAAAATCGTTCTTTTCAGATCCAACTGGGCTTTTCCCGGGCTCCAGATAATAAAGCGGAAAATCCAATAAAGCTTAATAGATAATGGGATTGACTTTCTCACAATGGAGACGACTTGTGACATTGGTCTTTTGCAACGGTGACCCTCGTGAAATTTACTCATCACAAGGTATAAAGCTCGTGTTTTTGAGTTTCTTAAAATGCCGCGAATCGAGGATTTTAATCACACGAGTCACGAAATAGTTTTATCGCCGTGTGGCATACAATATTTTATGTCTCTGGGCCCGAAAACCGCGATTTAACCGAGGAAATCGATGTTAGAATCGTGGCTTTACGGTCCTAGGAACATAAAATGATATTTTATGCCTCAAGTACCGAGAACTGCGTTCTAACCGAATAAAGTGAAATTAAAATTCGCAGTTTAACTATCCTCGGGCCATAATATACTATTTTTTATGTGTCCAATACTGCGTCTTTGTCACTCGGAGTAAGATAAAACATTCTAGTAATCGAAAATAGGAAGCTTTTCGAAGGAACGTCAAAAATGTAAAAAACCCGTTGAGGTAATTTACGTAAATTACGTCGGTAAAAAACGGTGCAATTTACCAACGTAATTCACACGCCCAACACTGGTAGGGGAGGGTAGGGTAAAATAGACACTTTCGACTTTTTTAAAATTATTCATAACTCAGAAACAAATGTATCAATAGAGCTCAGTTTAGGCTCATCATAAAGGGAAATAATTGTTCTTTGTATTAAAAAAAAAAGATTAAATTTCATCAATATTTCAACCCGTCACTAATATTTTTAAAAAAGTCAAAAGTGTCCATTTTACCCCAACCTCCCCTACTAAAGACGCAGAAATTGGAATATATGGTGTTAAACACATTCAAAACCGATTCCCAAAATGTCCATAAGTGTCGCCAAAAATTGGATCTCTATAAATTCTCATTCCCTTTGACATTTTTTATTCAAAAATTACAAAATCACAAAATCGAATATTTGACGTTGCATATCTGAAAAATTGGCGTGGAAAAAGTCCTTGGAATTTTGGGCATCGTTTTGAAGTGTGCTCAACGTCACATGATCCAAATTTTGTGTTTTTTGTACATTGCGAAATTTTCAGCATCAATCAGTGACTGAGGCATCAATCAGTGCCTGTACCGTTTCTTTATCATGCTACCCTCCTGAAAGACAAAGGGGGAACGAAGATTTTCCATCTGACAGACATAAAAACGAGCCGATTTACCTTATGCACTTCAGCGGCCTGATACTCCGGAGTACAATTGTGGTGTATGATCCCAATGCCGCCTGACAACGCCATGGCAATAGCCATGTCGGACTCGGTCACCGTGTCCATCGGAGACGAGACCAAGGGTGCCTTCAGGGTGATTTGTCTCGTCAAAGGTGACACAAGTTCCACCTCCTCAGCAGTAAAGTCTATGTATCCAGGTAAAATGATAAAGTCATTGTAGGTGAGACCCTCACCACCGTTGAACATTTGCGCTGCTGATAGGCCATCCTCTGGCACTGGTAAATCAGCTGGTTTTAAATCCCCTATTACGTAGTCTGCCATTTCCTGTCAAATTCGTGTTTTTCACACTCCAACTGACAATTGAACGCGACTTGAGTGTTTAATTTAATTTTATTGGAGCTTAATTTAGTTAGAGCGTCAACACGTGGCTTGAGTTAATCGGGCTCCGGGCGCGCACACTCAAGGCAGTCAGAAAAATGACCGAATACAACGTGCGCGGAATGACTATATAGGAGGGGTAGGAAATAGTGAGAGTGGCAATGCTGTTGATTATCGTGACTCCAGCGATTGTGGCGGCTGTTTTAGTTGAGCCGAACTACTAGTGAATTCTGCGGATGCATCGGTATGATAGAAATGGATGTCGATAAGAGGCGGGGAAATTCAAGAAGTGGGATGTTTGAACAATTCGGCACAGGCAAATTGATTCAGTTGTTCCAAATCGACGTTTCCTAATAAGACAAGCGTATTTCAAAATGCAGATGAAAAATCGTCTGAAATCGCACGTTTTCCTTCTTTTGACAGCCGTATAAATGCGATGAATGCATCATAAAATACAAATAACATGAGGTAGTTCACATTGGAAGAGAAATCAAATGATTTGCGAGCTCCATGAAACTTAGAAATGGATGTGAACAACAAGCTTTCACATGAATTTTAAGAATGGGGAGGTTGGGGTAAAACGGACACTCTTGACCTTTTTTTTAAATGACAATGACGGGTTGAAATGTTGATAAAATTTCATATTTTTTTCTTCATTACAAAGAACAATCTTTCCCTTTGTGGTGCGCCTAAACTGAGCTCAATTGATAAATTAAAAAAAAATTGAGGTATGAGTAATTAAAACAAAAGTCTAAAGTGTTCATTTTACCCCACTCTCCCCTACCCTTGTTTTAAAAAGAAAACTGAAATCCCCTTTTTTTATTAGTAAATGTTGAAGTGACTCATTGTACATCGCGAATAGGGAACTTGTATGATTTTTGCTTCCGAATGGAAGCATTGCAATCCTTCGATTTTCACATTCTCTAATTTTGATTGGAAATAATGTAGAATAGTCTGAAACGTAAAACTACGAAGTTTGGCGACCATGTCTGTACACTGAGAAAAAAAATGTCTAAGAAATAGAAATTCTATGATTGATCCAAATCGTTCATCGATTGAATAGTCGCAAAAGAAAATGCTATTGTAACACACAAATATCGATTCAATTTTAATGTTTTCGATTGAAAAAGAATGAGATCAGTTATTTAAACTTTTTTTTTTGGTACTATCTACTTTTCAGTACATACAAATCAATGTCTGTATTATCAGATATCTTCTTCGAATAAAGTATGTAATTATCCAATTTATCAGCGTCACGATATCCCGCAAAAGAATATCTGTTCGATTGAAAGCAGAATTCATAGATGCAATAAAATATTCATTTGGTCTATGAGGAACATATTATTGAATACTCATTGATGCGAGATTTTCGCGCAGCGCAGTTTCTTGTTTACGACAAACGCAATTCTTCATCATTTGAACGGATTATTTTTCCATTGCAATTGTGAAAAAAAATTATTTGCGCCAAATCCGAAGCGTTTGAACTAAACCAAAACTGAATTGTATGAAATCGATTTTATCCCAGAAACATGTATTTTCTAAATTCGATAGAATAAACAAAATATAGTATACTATAACAAAATCGATTTCATACAATCCAATTTTGGTTTAGTTCAAATCGATATTTGTGTCTTACAATCACGTATGAAAAAATCTTATAGAAATTTTCTATACGGGTTGCGTATAGAATTTCTATAGGATTTTCGTATATGATATTCGGATATTTCTATACGGATATTTTTTATACAAATTATTTCTATACGATTTCTATAGGTTTGATTCTATACGACCCACTGCCACATGTATAGAAACATTTCGTATGGAGTTGCGACATTATTTCTCTACGTTTTTCTCTGGAGCGTTTGGACATCTTTCGTATGAAAACAAAAATTTATGTGAAAATTTATGTATAAAAATAATTCGTATAGAAATATCTGAAGATCATATACAGAAATCCTATAGAATCTCTATACGCAATCCGTATANTAATCCGTATAGATAATTTCTATACGATTTTTTCATACGTGATAGCATTTTCTTTTGCGACTATTCAATCGATGAACGATTTGGATCAATCNCATTCAGACTTTCCAAATCCTTGCCGGACCCGTAATTCTATGGGCCTATATTAAATCTGCGTTGATATCCCTGTTTACTCATGCGTTATTGAAATAAAAAATGCAATTATTGTTNTTTTTATTCTTTATTTATTGATTGATTTTTTTTCTCATCACCTACGGGTGTCAAATAATTTTTATTAAATGTTTTTCTAATTATGGAAATAATATTAAAAAATCTCAAGTTGGTAAACCTGTCGAGTGTTTTTTCTCTCTCAGTCCCATGGCCCAACCCATACCGTTCCCATGATGCTCACTCACATTCGAATCACGCCCCTGCGCGTGAGGGTGTAATTGTCCCGAAACTCATAATGTTCCGAATCATTTGTTCAAATAACTTTCTTAGAAAATCGGAAAAAAATCTGAAACTTATACGTGTTCTCAAGAAAGATTTGATTCATCACCCACTAGTTTTTCCTCAATAGCTCATTATTTTTTTGGATGCTATGGAAATTTCCCTAGTTGAGAGTGGGGTAACCTCGGAGGTTATAGCTGGAGGGGTGCCAAAAACATCCAAATTTCATTATTTTTTTTCTTGAGACTGAGATCAGAAAAAAATGTGCAAAAATGCTCAATGATGCAGCATACTCAGACATTTCTCCCATGAATTTTTCATTTTTTTTTCATTATTTTGACTTTTCACACGAAACACCTTAATGGGTCATTCCACACAACCAAATTCCTGTCGATGTTGAAAAGTTTGAATTATACACGTTGGAATTCAGATTTCACAATGTGTATTTGGGTTGGCACATTTCAATTTCTGTAGATAAGATCTTAATGCAAAATAGAAAATATGTCAAAAATGAACGGACTATTATCTGTGAAAAGCTGATCTTGTCGAAAAAATGCTGGCGGTGCTAAAGTATATCGAAAATGGTATTTTTTGTTATGAGAAGATGACTGACTATTAAGAAGAACTCATGTTGGAAACGTGAATAATTGTTCACGTTTTTTATGAATATAATCTGCTGTGACGGGAAAAATTGCCTATACTTTCTCTCTATTTCTTTTATGTGCGCTCGTCAAAATATACTGGGGTAGTTGAATAGTAGAGAATTGAGAGGCGATTTCATGAATTCGATTAATTTCGTTTGAAGTTGCTCATGCCTACATAAAGGAATCAAGTATTGGTGTTCACTAGTCTGAGAATAATAAGTGAGGCTCCAAAAACTGATTGAAGGGTGATTGGCTCACCTGGCGTGACTCACAAGAGCCAGTGATTGCAGTGTACTGGGAGAAAAATCGACATAGTATGAGAAAAATAATTTCTTGCGTGGAGAACATCGCTTGCATATTCGATCAATTCATATCCCGAGTCGAATAATTGGACCTGTCAAGTTCTACTTAGGTCTTTCCGTTCAGAACTGGATAGGTCTTAGGAAGCCTCTTTCCACGTGCTTCCGAGACCTTTCTACCTCTGGTTATGTCCCATTTCAGAACGTGTTAGGTGTAAGGAGGACTTGTATTCAGATTTTCCAAATTCTTGCCGGTCCCCGTAATTCTATGGGCCTATATTAAATCTGCGTTCATATCCCTGTTTACTCCCGAGTCGAGGATTTGGATCTGATTGGACGTACACAGGTCTTTCAAGATCTCTCCAGACCTAGATGGACCTGGTAAGTCCTAATCAGTTCTGCGACGTACTTTTCCAGAGACCTTTTGAATCCTCC